GGGGGGGGGGGGGGGACCTGACTGCAGAACAGGATGCGGGAGGGATGGAGGTGGGCGCTGCACCTTTGAATGGGATCAAACAAGACGTAGGGAGCGTTCTGACTCGAGCTCCCTGGACCCCAGGGCAGGTCAGCAGGATCCTCCGAGCTGGGAAGGGAAGTGTTTTGGTTAAAGACAGAGCTGACCTTTAACCCATCCCACTTGCATAGGGTGCCAGTTGTGAAAATACTGACATACTTTTCACCAATTGGTAAGTAGCCACTGGACCCATGAGCCTCCCCTTCATGCCTTCCCCCCACCCTCTCCCCCTGCTGGCCCCTCACCACCTCACCTCGCTATGACCGGCAATGAGAGGGTTAGCTCCCAGCACAGCCACCCTTGTTCCTCTGCTTGGTCAGTGGGCAGTGCCTGAACCCTAGGGCTGTAGCTCCCAGCCCTCCGCCCTGTTGCAGTGTTGCAGGTAGTGGCTACCCACCCGGGTCCCTGACGCACGAAGGAGGATGTGTAGAGGCCACGGGGGCATCAGGTGGAATTGTAGGGCAGGTCCCCAGGGGACTGGAACCAGGCCCCATCCGAGGTCACGTGACCTTTGTCCTTGCTCCTCTCTCTTCCTTGGAGCCCACCTCAGCCTGGGGCTGCCTGTCTCCTGGCCACCTGCATCCCAGCCACTAGCCATGGGAGCCATTGGAGCCAAACATCACCTGTCTGCCAGTCGCCTGTGTCCAGGGAGTGGGGCCTCCAGGTGCAAACGCGTCCACCTCGGAGGTGGCACCGTAGGGACAGGCACGGGCGGGCTCCCTCAGGGCTGTCCTGAGGATCGCGGGTCCTGGGGACCGTGTGGCTGTCTTCTGAGCTCTCCAGGTGGGAGAGGCGGGGGGCATGCCCTGCTCGGTCTAGTGTCTGAGGGACTGTGGGGTCGGGGGTGGAGTGGGCACTCGCAAGTCTGAGTCCCCCTGAAAGCTAAGGCAGGGGACGAGGGAGGAGGAGCCTCCAACAGCCTCCGCGTGGACCGTAAAGGAACTTCCCCGGCTGCTTGCTGATTGGCTCCTTCCTCCTGGCCGGCTCTCGTGTGTCTGCACAGCTCTCCCCGCGTCGTTGTCGTTTTCTTAGGCAGCGCGTGCATTTGCAGGGCTCTCAGTGGTCGGGGCTGGTCTCAGCCCGCAGCTGCCACCACAGCTCTCCAGCTCAGCCGTGGCAGCCACGTGGAGCCCTGGGCAGGGCCCTGCACCTCCGCTCTCTCCGGTTCCTCGCCTGTAAAGGGGGTGGGGTAGTAACTGGAACGTACTTCATAGGGGTGTTAGACGATTAAGTACGTTCATGGCCGGTTGTCCCTGAAAATAGCTCCAGGCATGAGTCAAAGCTCAACAACTGTGAACTCTCGCTCTTTAAATATTTATCGAGCTCCTCCTCTATGCCAAATGCAACATATGCCCTGGGATATAACGGAGAGCACATTCCGTCATGATGCTCGCAGTCTGTCAGCTAGGGAGCTGGGTAAGCGGCTGTAACAAGTAGCCCTTAGATACAGTGACTGAAGATAGAAGGTAGGTTTTTTCTCAGGTGTCTGTCCCAAGGGACAAAGTCCAAGGCTAGTGAGGATGGTTTTATCCGCTCGACACCTGGTCCAAGTTTGAGTCTAGAGTGGTCACTTCCAGTTCTCACCATCTTCCAGCTGGTGTGAAGGGGAAAGGGGCCCCAAGGGCCGGGGTGTTTATACACCTCTCTTTTAAGGGAGCTGATGCCGCAGCGCGCATGTCCCATTGGCTGGAACTCAGTCACACCGGCCCACCAGCTGCAAGGGAGGCTGGGAAATGCGGTCTCTTACGGGCGGCTGTGCTCTGCTGTAACTCCAGGATTCTGTTATTAAAAGGGAAGAGCGGGTGTTGGTGGGAACCCGGCAGTCTCCGCCACAGCCTGCGGACTCTTTATTGGACCTTGAACTCTGTTCTGCAGGTGATGAGGTCCTAGCAGAGGGCCTCATCCCAGATAGTAGTTCCCAACCTTCTTTTGGCCACGCCCCACCTAAGCATCTCTAAAATCCTGATGCCCCCCCCCCCCAAACAAAACTCCCCCGGTGACATAGAATTCTTATTCTTCAAAAAGTGAGCTCCTATTCACATGGAGGAAGCCTAAAAGCCATTATCTTGGTCTAAACAAGCTTCCAAAGAACATGGCACCCATGAAAGAGAAAAATAAAAGAACGAAAGGACAGTTGAAGTACTGAGGAAGAGATCACTAAGAAATTGTTAAAAATATAATATGAAGTGATATGAAAAAATAGCAAATAACATTTCAAGACGTATAATAGAGAACTGAAATGCATAAATGTGTCAGTATATCTATAATAATAAAAGCGTAATATGCTAATTAAACTGGACAGCCGAACGACCTTCTGGATGAAGCCAGGGCCGCGAGGGCCGAGCCCCTTGCACGAATTTCGTGCATCGGACCTCTAGTACATTATATACTGTATATGAGGCCCCCAGAACCATAAGAAATGCAGAAAATGCATTGTTAATAACTCATTCTCGAATTGCCCCCCTTAAAGGTTAAATTGCCCCTGTGGGGCGTGTGCCTCCGTTGGGAACCACTGCACCAGAGGCTTGCTGAGAGGTGGAGGGAGCGCGGAGCGAGTGCACGGTCTGCCTGCCGTGTGCACTGTGCCTGCTGTCCCGGAGCCCTTGCTGCAGGCAGGGACAGCAGGCTGGGTGCTCCGACGGAGGCCCGCAGGCAGGCACAGCGAGTGTGCTGCGACTCACCGGGGAGCCCGGCTCCTCCCTCCTTGGCCCCTTCGGCCACTGGTTACCAGGCACCACGTCTGGCCCAGGCTCCAGCGAAGGTCCTGACAGGCGTGAGGAGTGGGGCGGGCTCTCCAGGGACCCTGCAGAGGGACGCATGCGCTGACGCGGCCTCTCGTCTTCTCTTGGCCTAGGACCCTCGGAGCAAGCACAAGTTCAAGATCCACACCTACTCCAGCCCCACCTTCTGTGACCACTGCGGGTCGCTGCTGTACGGACTCATCCACCAGGGGATGAAATGTGACAGTAAGTACCCAGGCTCAGAGGCTCCACCTGCTGGCTGGCAGCACTTCCGGGCGAGTCCTGTCAGGGCTCCTGCTTATCTGCACCAATGGGAAGCCTTGGCCTC